TAATTCATCAATTCACAACCGATTCAAAAGAGAATTTAAAGAATGGACACATTTGTAGATCAGGAATATTGAAGTAAATTTGCAAATAAATGCAAAATTGGATTTCCCATGAGGAGAATTCCCCTTCACCAGACAGAATTTATTTTCAAGTCTATAGATAATTATTTGCATTATGATCAGATATTTACAAAGTAACCTCAATCTCTACAGAGTTACAAATAACCTCATCAAAGGCTAGGATCAGATATTCACTGGAGACTTCAGGACTCTATTAAAAGGGTATCCAGTGATCCCATTTGCTTATTCTAAAACTTAAAAAGAAATTCTTACAATCTTCTCCCCCTTTGATCAAAATGATCTCAAAAACCAAAAATTCACAAAATAAGGTTGGTCTCAGTAGGATGGGCCTGATAATTTTCATAGGTGGAGCAAGAATGTTCATTTACCATATAAGCCACCTTAAATTTGCTTTGTTGGAGGTTTTTCTAGGGAATCTCAGTCTATATAAAATCCCTTATTATTTGCTATCCCAAGGCTAGGAAATCAAGCCCAAGAAATTCTGTTCATCAGATTTCAACTGCAGGACCTATAAATTTGGGTAAATGCCTCTCTTCTAAAAGTCATCCAAATATTCTAAAGTTCTTAGGGCTACAGCATGTGACCTTCTTACCACCTATAAGGCTGGAAAATATGTAAGTTACATACCAGGCTAGTTTTTCTGAGAGGACTTTGTAGGCATTGGCTCTGTAATGCATCAATCTTGATTCTTTAAAAGTGACTCATTGGCCAGGCATGTAATCCTATCTCACACTGTAATCCCAGCACTTTGGGAGGCCGAGGCAGGCAGATCACCTGAGGTCAGGAGTTTGAAACCAGCCTGGCCAACATGGTGAAACATGGCGAAACCTTGTCTCTACTAAAAGTAGCCAGGTGTGGTGGCAGGCACCTGTAATCCCAGTTACTTGGGAGGCTGAGGCACGAGAATTGCTTGATTCTGGTGCCTGGGAGGCAGAGGTGCAGTGAGCCGAGATCATGACACTGCGCTTCAGCTTGGGCAACAGAGAGAGACTCTGTCTCAAAAAAAAAAAAAAAGTGACTTGTCATACCTGATTCAATAAGCATTATTCTCAAAGTAAAATTCTAGGCAAGGCCTTGGTTGCATAAGTGATTTTTCTAATTATATTTTAGTACAAGGAGAACAGCATTGAAACTATGTAAATTCCTATAGTGCCACGAAAAGTAGAGACTCAATGAGAGTTTCTGAATTTGAGAGGTACAGGGAGCACATTCAAAGTATTACAAGTTTGATTTCTTTGTTTTCTGGGAACTTTATGAATATTCAGTTTATATAAGCACTTATTTATCTCTACAAGCCAATCAGAACAGAACTCCCTTAAGAGCCTTTATGATCTAATTTATTAATGACATCTGGAGACAGGAAAACATGCTACACTCACAATATGAGATTAGGAACTTTCTGAATTACAGATACAAAGACATACAAATAGCCTGTATACCCTCAATTCTACAATTTCAGCCACAGGTAAATGGAGAATAAACACAGTGGCCCGACGCAGTGGCTCATACATCTAATCCCAGCACTTTGGGAGGCCGCTGAGATAGATGGATTGCTGGAGTCCGGGAGTTCAAGACCAGCCTGGGCAACATGGTGAAACCCCAACCTCAACAAAAAGTACAAAAACTATCTGGGCATGGTTGTACACCTGTAGTCCTAGTTACTCAGAAGGCTGAGGCGAGAGGATGGCTTAAGCCCTGGAGGCAGAGGTTGCAGTGAACTGAGATCATGCCACCACACTCCAGCCTAGGCTATAGAATAAGACACTCTCTCAAAAAAAAAAAAAAGAAAAAGAAAAAGAAAGAAAGAAAGAAAAGAAAAGAAAAAGAAAAAAAAGAGAGAGAAAAGAAATGCAGAAACACAAAAAGCTTACTAGTCCAGATACCAGAGTTGTTCTCCTTCCTTGTGAGTGAGAAATTCCTAATTTGAGCTCAAAATAGGCAGATGGATAAAAACTAAGAAACTATATTCTCTATAAGACATTAGATCATTTCTAGAGATCACCAAATTTCCAATCATGGCAGCTGCCAACAGGAAATAACTTGCCATCCATAAATGAACTAAAAAGAAAAACAAATTAATAGAGAGTAAAATTAAAATTAGAAAAACAAGAAACTTTAACCTGTGGGAGCCAAGAAAAATCATGCCTAGGCTTGATTTTGCTCATCCATGCCTGGGTGACTCTTTTGCCCATCTCAGTGGGAACTCCAAAACTGTTAAAGGATGATTTCTTTCAAAAGTAAAGTTATGACTCTCATATAAATATAAAACACGTCAGAGATTTTATTAGCTTATTAATTAAGTGAGGGAACTAGTAAGATGTCATATTAAAAGGACAATCCAAATAGACACATTTATAAATCGAGAATATTTAAACAAATTTGTAAATGGATGCAAAAGTGGTTTTTCAGGGAGAAGAGTTGTCCTTCCATGTGAAAGAATTTAAATTTGCATGTGTATAAACAAGATTTATTGGCATTCTTATCAGATGTCTACAAATGAACCTTAATCTTTAGAGAACTATAAAATGGACAATTAAAAACAAAGATGCAGGCCGGGCGCAGTGGCTCATGCCTGTAATCCCAGCACTTTGGGAGGCTGAGGCGGGTGGATCACGAGGTCAAGAGATTGAGACCATTCCAGTCAACATGGTGAAACCCCGTCTCTACTAAAAATACAAAAAATTAGTTGGGCATGGTGATGCATGCCTGTAATCCCAGCTATTCAGGAGGCTGAGGCAGGAGAATTGCCTGAACCCAGGAGGCGGAGATTGCCGTGAGCCAAGTTCGCACCATTGCACTCCACCCTGGGTAACAAGAGCGAAACTTCGTCTCAAAAAAAAAAAAAAAAAAGACAAAGATGCAGCCTGGCACAGTGGCTCACACCTATAATCCCAGAACCTTGGGAGACCAAGACAGAAAGATTGCTTGAAGCTAGGAGTTCAATACTAGCTTGGACAACATAGTGAGACCTAGTCTCTTCAAAAAAAAAAAAAAAAAAGCCAGATGTTATTTCAATAGTTTCAGCTACTTGGAAGGAGAAGGCAGGAGGATCACTTTAGCCCAGACATTCAAGAGTGTGGTGAGCTATGATGGTGCCACTGCACTCCAACCTGGTCAACAGAATGAGACCCTACCTCTTTAAAAACAAAACAAAACAAAGATGCATACAGAGTCCTATAGGACTGTAGATCAGATCATCTTCAGAGGTTCTAGCATTTCAATGAAAAGATGCTATGTAATCTCTTCTGCTTATTCCAAAGTCTTTTTCCTTCCAATAGATGCACACACATTTGTCTGAAATTAAGATAATTGCTTTAACTAGCACTAAGCAATTGAAATTGTACTTACAGTCTTCAGATTTCTTGGAGAATGAAACTGACTCTTCAAATGAAAATACACTGAATTAGAAAGTACCCTGTTTTTCACATCTGCAAAACAGGCAGAGTTCTTGGAACTGGAATATGATATTTATAGGTGGAAAATATTTGTAAGGACAAAGAATTAGTCTAACAAGATTTTTAAAGTAGCTCAATCTAGTGTTATAAAAATTAAAACCTGAAGTACTAATTTCAAAAAGGTCCCAAAGTGTTATACTCTAGAGCAGTAGTTCTTAGGTGTTAAGAGTACAAAAGATTAACCTGGAGTGCTTATTTAACGTGTATGTTACTGGGCCCCAGTTCTAGTGGTTCTCAAATCTCAGTGTACATGAATAGCTCCTGGAGGCTTCAGTAATGCAGATTCCCAGGCCCTGTCCTCAGAAGTTTGGATAGATCTGAGTTGGGGCCCAGGAGTCTCCACTTTTAATAAGAAATTCTTCCCCCAAATGATTCTGCAGAATATAAACTGAAGATTTCTCTTTGGTCATTGTTTTACAAGTGAACTATTTTTTAGCTCTCCAACCCTTCAGTGATTATTCTACTGAATTCCTGTAACACTAGACAACATTCTTCATAGTACTGTAGTATAGAGGTCATAAGGTAAATGGAAATAATATTGGTCCCCCTTAGAAGGGATGAAGTTGTATGCCAAAGTCTTAAATTAGGCCAACGTGGAGACACAGTTTGTATTCTAGGATTTTATTGAGACCTCGAGTTCTTTACTTAATTTCTATTATGTAAAAGAGCAACAGGAAACTGAAGCCCTCCCACAAATTTATTCCAGGTAGTCCCCAAGTTTCTAGGTTTCCGACTTCAAGATAGTAGATCCACCTTAATGAAAGTTTTTCCTCGACGGCAGGCTTTGGTGAATCATTCATTGATTTATTCATTTGTTTGCTTATTTAATGATGTCTCTTATTTTTTAAAACTTTGGCATCAGCCATGCTAACACGGTATGAATACTAGGAATTGTAAATTAGTTACATTAATACTAACTATTTTGGCCGATTTTATTAAAATAACTTATCTGAGCCTTCCTATCTTCTGGTGATATAAGAAATGTCTAAAAATAACTCATTTTATAAAGCATGACTGATTATAAAACAGCAGCATGGTTTCAGGTACACAGATTTTCTTCTTTCAGAACAAAGGATTTCTTTGGTTATTAAGAATGTGTGCCTGATTTCTCTGAATTTTAAAAAGAGTAATAATATTACCAATGATTGAAAATATCATAAGTATAAAGAACTTTTAGTTTGAAGGAATTTTTAGTCAGAAGGAAATTATATTTCCACCTTAAAATGAAACTACTTTAATGCAATTTTATTTCATATTACTGCCATTAGAAATGACATTTTTCCTTGGGTTAGAATATTACATTTAAATGAATGTGTACTGTAGCTGTTTTTCCATGCAAAGGATTAAGGCACTAGATGTACCCTCACAAATAAGATGATGAATGGAGTAAGTTTTGAAATGTATAGAGCTTGGACTTTGTGAAATTGCTTGGAATTAAACTCACATTCTATTAATGTTCCTTTTTAGGAATTTTAAGTCTGATAGAACGAGGGCTGATTCCACCAACAGCAAGGATTACCTTTCAGAATCCACCCATTATACCCAAAGCAGCTCCTCTGCATTATTTGAATGAAGCACGTAATATTCCAACCGCAGGTAAGACACTCTTGCCTCTACATTCAGTTAGGGACACACAGAAATTACTTCTGCCCAAAATCTAGCCTTTTAGTAGCCAACGTTTGCCCTCAATAATGGGACAAGATGAAAGTTGTAATCATCCTGAGTTTCACTTTAGTAAAGAAATTAATTTTAGCCATCTTTGTAAATTACATATTGAGGGCCTGTGTTCCCTGTGTCAGAAGGTTCGTATTTTCAGGGGCTTACAGTTTGCTTGGGAAAACAAGATAGATATAATAAAGATAAATAACAATATAAAGTAACATGGAATAAAACCCAAATGGATGTCAAGGTCTAGTGAAATAGGAGCTCAGAGTCATAACTGCTGAGCGTTGAGACAATGGAAGAAGATTTTAAAGAAAATAATGAAATAGGGTGTTAGAGAAAAGCACCAACCTAGGAATCTAGTAACTTGTTGCAGAATCTTGGACAAGCTATTTACTTTCTCTGGGCTGCAGTTTTCCAGTCACAAAATGATAGGTTTGGGCTAAATTAATTCATCTTTAATTATTTGTTACATAAATAAATAAATATTTTTAAATATTTAAAAATTGTTTAAAAATAAATAAATATTTGTGGAATGCTCGTTTTATCCAAAGTAGCATCTAGGTGCTGGAGATCCAGCAGAAAATGTCAGACAATGTATCTGTTCTCCTGGTGCTTATATTCTAGTGGGAGACAGATAAGCAGATACATAAATAAGAATTTAGTGATAAATGCTAGAAATAAAACAGTATGGGTTAAATAATGATAATGAGGGGGCTACTTTGCTTGTGAGGGAAGTGTCAGGGAATGTCTCTAAGAAGAGATAGGAGGCTTCAGCCGAGATTTGAATGATGAAGGAGAGCCAGTCATGTAAAGATCTAGGGAAGAGCATTTTAGATGTATGACAGCACATGGACCAAGGCCTTGAGGACTAAGAGGGAATGAGCAAGAAGGCCAAACCATGAGCTAGGGAGAGAAAGGGAAGAGATGAGGGTGAAGTGGTAGAGAGGGATTACATGCGGTAGGCTAGAGCAAAGACTGTAAGTTGCCCTCAATATTTATTCTTTCCTACCTCCATAGTAATAGAGTTGTGGGTCGGCACATGTCATTTTAACTAACGACATTTCCCAGCCTTACTTGCAGCTGGGTGTGCCATGTGAGGAGGCCATGGATGATGAAGATATTAAGCAGAAATAGGGGGGGAAATTCTGGGCTATGCCCTTAAGAGAAAAGAAGCATAGCCCCTCTTTTGCCTTTCCTCCCTCTGGCTAGCTGAGATGCAGATGTTATGATGAAACTTGGGCAAGCATTTTGGAGCCAGGTGCCCTGCCAATTCAGGACTGTCTTCCTTTGAACTGCGTATGAGAAATCAAGAACTCAATTTATTTAAACCACTCAGTGTATGTTAAGAGCTTTCTTTTTAAATACCTTAGACTATACCAGGACCAGCATGGCAGCCTTCCAAACCATAGTGAAGAGTTGCATGTAATTCTGCTGACAAAGAGAACCCACTGAAAGATTTAAACAGAGTCTGAGATGATCTGATGTATGTTTTAATAACCGCTTTGCAGATAACAAATCATAGGGGGAGCATGGAGTCTAGTTAAATGACTATTGCCGTAAACCAAGTGAGAAATAATGTTGGATATGAGGAAGATGGTATCAATGAAGATGAAGAGAAGTGACACATTCAGGTTACATTTTGGCAGAAGCATTAGGACTGGCTGTCGGATAGGAGTGAGGAAAAGAGAGGCATCACGGATAAATATGTATGAATGTATGAATGAGTATCTGTGAATGTGCTTCAGTTTTGTATATATCCTACTGTTGATGGGAATTTTAGTGGTTTATATTATAGAGCTATTAGAAATAATACTTCTATGAGCATTGTTAAATTCTTTTCTTCTTTTCTTTTTTTTTTTTTTTGAGATAGGGTCTTGCTCTGTCACCCAGGCTGAAGTGCAGTGGTGCAATCTCGGCTCACTGCAACCTCCGCCTCTCAGGTTCAAGCAATTCTCCTGTCTCAGCCTCTTGAGTAGTTGCGACTACAGGTGCATGCTACCATGCCCAGCTAATTTTTGTATTTTCAGAAGAGACAGGGTTTCACCATATTGGTCAGGCTGGTCTTGATCTCCTGACCTTAGGTGACCCACCCACCTTGACCTCCCAAAGTGCTGAGATTATAGGCATGAGTCACCGTGCCCAGCCATTATGAACATTCTTGTACATGCCTTTTAATGCACATTTGTAGCTATCTTTTAATCCACATATGTAGCATTTCTGTTGAAGATACATTAAAAAGTGGAGTTGCTGAGTCTTAGTGTTTATATATGCTCAGATTTAATAAATACTGCCAAACAGTTTTCCAACGTGGTTATACTGACTTATTTTCCTATTAGCAGTGTATGAATATTACAGAATATTCATCTTTGTCAACACTTGTTTAAAACTTTAGCCATCCTGAAAAGTCTGTTGTGGTATGTCTTTGTGGGTTTAATTTCTACTTTCCTGATGATCAGTAAAATTGAGCAAATTTTTTTGATAATGCATATTGGTTATTTGATTATCCTCTCTTGTTAGGTGATTTAAGACTTTAACCCCTTTTGACATTGGATTGTCTTTCTTTCTCTTAGTTATTTATAGGAATTACTAGATATTCTAGGTACTAATCTTTTATCAGTTATATGTATTGCACATAATTTTTCTTACCCTGTAAGAAAATGGTATTTCACTGGTACTGTTTTTTTTTTTTCAACTTTTCGTTTTGAGATAATGGTAGATTCACATGCAGTTGTAAGAAATAATGCAGAGAGATCCTTTGTACTCTTTACACAATTTTTCCCGATAGTAACATATTGCAAAACTAAAATATAATATCACAAGCAGAATACTGATGCAGGCAAGATATAAAACAGTTCCATCACCACCAGGATTTCTCATAGTGCCCTTTGATAGCTATGCCTGCTTCCCTCCAGCCCTATACCCCCTTAATCCCTGGCAACCAATAATCCATTCTCTGTTTCTATAATTTTGTCATTTCAAGCATGTTATATAAATAGATTCTAAATGGACAATGCTACATTGTCCATTTCATCTAATACAGTGATTTTGAGGATTGACTTTTTTCATTCAATATAATTCTCTGGAGGGTCATTCCGGTTTTATTAATAGTTTTTTCCTTTTAGTTAATAGGTCATATTAACAAATATATGATTACATTAATGTTTTCATGCCATTATTGATAATTTAGTCCTTATATTAATAGTTTATTTCTTTTTATTGCTGAGGAGAATTCTATTGGAATGGACCACAGTTGTGAAACCATTCACCTGTTGAAGGACATATGGATTGTATTCAGTTTTGAGCTACTATTAATAAAGCTGCCATAAACATTTGTAGATAGGTTTTCATATACACATGTGTTTTTATTTCTTTAGGATAAATGCCCAGGAGTATAATTGCTGGGTCTTACGATAATTGCCTTTTTATTTCCTCTGCATATATTTAGAGCCACATCATACAGTGTTATTACTTTTTGTTTTAACCATCAAATATAATTTAGAAAACTAAAGAAGAAAATGAAAGTCTGGTTTTTTTACCCTATTTTTGCTTATCATGTTCTTCCTTTTTCCTAATATTCCCAATATATTTTTTATTTTATCATTTGCTTTCTATTTATAGAATTTCCCTTGGCCAATCTTTTAGAGTCAGTATCCTAATGAAAAACTCTCTTCATTTTCCTTAATCTTAGAATGTCTTGCTTTCCCTGTCTATTCCTAAAGGATATTTTCACTAGGTATAGGTTACTGAGTTGATAATTCTCTTTCAGCACTTGGGAAAAAAAAAAAAAAGTTGTGCCACATTCTTTTGGCCTCCATGATTTCTGGTGAGAATCTGCTTCTGGATTATTTTTCTCCTATAGATAAGGTGTTGGGTTTTCTCCTGATGCTTTTAATTTTTGTTCTCAGTTTTTAGTTTTCAGAAGTTGGACTATGATGTATCTTGGTGTCAATTTCTTTAGGTTTATTCTGTTTTAGTTTGCCTCAGCATCTTGAATCTGTAGGTTTATGTCTATTGCCAGATTGAGGAAATTTTTAGCCATTATTTATTTGAGTACTTTTTTCAGCTTTGACCTCTATCTCCTCTCTATCTAGGACTGTGATTAATAGTTTTTTCCTTTTAGTTAATAGGTCATATTAACAAATATATGATTACATTAATGTTTTAGTGCCATTATTGATAATGGCATTTGTATGTTAGATTTTTTTTGGATATAGTCTCACATGTCCCTGAGGCTGTGTTCTCTTTTTTAGTCTGTTTTTTTCTATTTGTTCAGATTGGGTAATTTCTATTTTTCTGTAGTCTCATCTACTGGATTTTATATTTAGGCTATTGTAGTTTTAAGTCCTAAAATTTTCATTTGGTTCCTTTTTATATATTCTGTGTCTTTGTGGAGACTTTCTCTTCCTTTTCTAAGACTATATCATTTGTTTCCAGACTGTCTGCAATTGCTTATGAAAGCATTTTTATGGCAGCTGCTTTAAAATCTTTGTCAGGTAATTCTAAGATCCTCGTCATTTCACTGTTGGTGTCTATTCATTATCTTTCTTCATTCACTTTGAGGTCTCTCTGGTTCCTGGTATGATGAGTAATTTTCAATTGAAATCTTAACATTTTGAATATTATGGGACTCTGATTTTTATTTAAATCCGCTTTAGCAAGTACTCCTGAGACCCCTATTTATTCCCTATCCATTTAAGTAATAAGTCCATTAGTTGTGAAACATCATCCCGTTTATGTTTTGCTGGATTTCATTTGCTAATATTCTGGTTTTGATTTTTGCATTTTTGTTCAGATGTGAGACTGGCCTAAATTTAACCCTTGCCTGTAATATTTTCCTTAGGTTTTAATATCAACGTTAGTTTTGCCACAATGAGTGAATGTGGTCTCTTTTTATATTCTCTGGAAGAGTTTATAAAACTGGTACTATTCCT